GCGAACACGCTCAATGTTCGAGGAGTCAGAGATCCAAAGAAGGCTCGATAGTGTTTACGATGATACGACCTTTCTATTACATTCAGCTTCCGATATCACTGTTACTTTCGAGGAAATAAAAAGGGCCATTGCGCAAGCAAACCCCCCTCCAAACGCTCGCGAAGTCCATGAAAAACTTACCAAGTTATTCTACGATGCACAGTCAGTCCAGCTCAAGATGTCCAACAACGTCGCCGTCGGAGAGCTACTGTGGGAAACTTACGACATGCTCACCGAAGCCGGATGCGTCACCAAACAAAGCCGTAGCGACTACGAAGACAAAGAAAAGGAAGCACGAAGACCCAACAACCGAGTCACAAGCCGCATCGTTATGTTGAAAGAAAGCGAACGACTCAAAGAACTAGCAGAGGAGATCTTCAAAACGAAGATGGAAGCGTTTGAAGAAGAACCCAAACAGAATGAAATATCAGAGAAGCTCAATCGATTCGAATTACTACTCCAAGAAACCGAGTCTTCGCTCAAGAGTGCCACCACCAGAATCAAGAAAACGGAAAGTATGGTATATGATAAGTTAGTCAAACCAGAGACGAACATTGCCAAACCAATTGCTCAACTCGTCCAGACGATGAACGATAAAGTCGATGACTTGCACAATTTAATGGAGAAGAACACGCAAAAAATTTTGGAAAAAATCGATCAAAGATTCGATATCCTACTACAAGCCCAGCTGAATCCTTGCAGAAGAATTGCCGACTCGCCGCCACATCGAGAAGAAAAAGATGAAAATGAAAGGCCCAGAAAAAGAGGCCAAGAAGAAAGCGGACAAACTTATTCGAAAAAGAGAAGGTCACCAGTCCCACGTAGAGTGGAAATAGCAAGGAGTAAATTGAACAGCCTAGCAATCTGCGTTGAACGCCAATTCGGACCTTCATCACACCGACCGGCCTCGCAGTGCCCATTTTGTGACGCTGATTCAACACACATACCCGATGCATGCCCCATTGTCCCCACAATTGAACAACGACTTATGGAAGTACGTCGTAGAAAACTCTGTAAAAAATGTCTAGCACCTCAGCATCCCGGATTCAGCTCATGCTCCACGTCTTGTGAATACTGTCATATGACCAATCATAACACCGCTCTCTGTTATTTACCTGAAGAACGCACAAATCTTCAGACCATCATCGACGACTGGAGATACCATCACGACAAGAGATACGACTAGGGGCCCCGTGGGGAGTGTGCTCGATTGTGCCCGATCTCGCACCTGTATCGACTTATCGACCCTTTGTGATCTATGTAATGATGAAGAGCGCTAGTCGACGCGCAGAAAATTTGCCTACGATACGCAGTATTCAAATGAGCCCAAACTTCCTCGGAAGACCCAGTTCGCGCCTCTTGGTCCATAGGAGCAGTATTTTACTCTCTCATTCACTTCTCATGTATTCACTTGTGTTCTTACCAATTCAGCACGCGTTTATGTTTTCCTCATCATTCATGTTTTCTCATCGTTCATGTTTTTCTCACTCATACACCATTCAGTCATAATTACTTAAGCGCTCGTTGTGTTTTTTCATGATGTCACATGGCCATCTCAGGTTCGCAGTACCCATTTGTGTCATCCTCAAGGCGATGTCATTTTGTCATGTCATTGACAGTTACTCTGTTTTCGATTGACTTGGCCATTTCATTCTCGCAGTATGCAATTGTGTCCTCCTCACAACGAAGTCATTTTGCTATCCCATTGAAGCTACTTTTTATTCAATTGCCGCATTGTTTAATTCGAGGGCCGCATTTTTTCCTCATCCAATTGTCACATCATCATCATCTATTGCTGTTTCGATTCCTACGCTGCCCTCTATCATCATGACTTGTTGATCATTACCTCTGAAATGTTGCCGGTTCCTCCTAAACTGCCTCAGAAGTGTTATGGTTTTGCGAATAACATGTTTATGATGTTTCTTCATGTTTAATGCTTGAATGAAGTTTAATTACCCAAGTTTGAGGTTGTTCTTGTCGGTGGACCACCCGGGCCATATCGGTGTTAATGGTATTCTCGCTGTTTCAATTCTGATCAAATTCAGCAGTTGTGGAGATATTCAGCGACTCCCACGAAGTCAGTCCCGCGTGGCAGTTTCTGGTTGATATTCTGGCAATTATTCAGTTCGACAAGCCCGACGTAAGTCTTCAGAATCCACCACATGCGGTGCAAGCAAGTGAATTGGGGCCTCAGAAAGCACAGCCACTTCCCTCCAAATTCAACTAAAGTTCAAAAAATCCAACTATATTACAGGAACTGCCAGCGTGAGTTGCGACTTGATAGGGTAATGACCATCTCTCAAACTCAAAAGTCCCTGGCCTCCAATAAAGACAATTACGTAGAAACTCCGGACCGTCAAGTAAGTTTACCTTTGAATAACTCTCGG